GTGGTTTGTTAATTTTCGATCGATCTACGGACATACTCGTTAGCACTGAACTGACATCTTTGTAGACGAGCACTACAGTCACTTGTGGGTGAGTCATTGACCGGAAGGATTTTTGAGGATAAGCTTGGACTGTTCATCTAAAAGGCAATTTAGCTCCATAGATGATAAACCCTGGGGCCTAAGTCAATCTAGTAATGGGCCATTGCGTGCATTGCTTATTGTTTGAACTCAGTGCATCAAAACGTGGTTGATTGCGTCTGTCATACATGTCAGTCATCAAATGCTCATTGAAGGATAGCATCGCCTACTCCGTGCGTATATTTCCAAACACACGCACCACACGTGTTGCATGATCAGTTCGATTGAGCGACAGAGACCAGTAAAACGACTGATCAAGAGAGTACAAATCTAGGTGCATGGGTATGTGTTCGGAGTTTTACTGAAAATCTGGAAGAGAAAAAAATATTTAACTGGTGCTCGGGAATCTTCTCGACTGCTTATCGTCCAACATTATTATATCAGGTAGCGAGAGACCTGAGACACGGGAACGTTTTTCTTGCGTTTGTATTTCAAACTGTGTAGTCTTTGACCAGCAGCCTGCTAACAAAGTAGAACAAACATACGTAGGTTAGCATAGGTTTATTATAACTCATTCACAATCAATCGTGTCAGGCGTATGATCGACATAGCAGCAATGGAACTAACAGCCCATCAGGATCGAGCCCATGTCGGCCGGCAGTATAGGCGTGGACGTGCGCGTGAAGTTGATTGATCTGAATAATTGTCAATCGATACCGTCTGTGCAACGAGCAAATTACCAATAGGCAGTTTGACTTAACGTACACTCTTTAGCCACAGGCATGTATACAACTGTTTTCTCATTCAAAACCTATATATCATCATCATTGCAGAGCTCTCCGCCAGAAAACATTATCAATCAAGTATACTGTCCTCATCAGGCCGGACAGAGTGTCACTATTTTGACTGATTTTGCTAATGGGCTAACACCCGGTTACCAACTGAGTCAAAATGCGTATAAACTGACGTAAAGTCCTAGTCGATCTTCTGACAAAAGCGGTTCCTGTGATGATTGATATCAACGGTTATTTTGGTACTTCAAGTAAGTGTCGTTAAAACCATTTGTCCGCATCAGTTGCTCTGCGCGTTCCCTTCAATCTATATTCAACCACTTCCACGTTCATTTTAGTTTATGAGGCTTCTACGCCAACCTAAAGAGATCGTAGTACCTGAACGAATTGGATGTCATGTACCGTCAACTGAAGTTAAACGGTTTCAACAATGATAATGATATGCATATAAAGATGATGATGATGATGCCTTGGATGACTCGTATGATGATAATGATGATGATGATGGCGACTCGGACGATGACTCGGATGATGACTTGGATGGTGACTCGAATGACGATGACGATGATAATGACTCGGATGATGATGATGACGATGATGATAATAATAATAATAATGATGATGATAATGATTACATAGAAGGAGCTGCACAACGAATTTTCGGAATCACTTTTACTAACCGCATAATAAAGACAAATTATGGTCACGCTAATACATATGCGCTCAAACGAATCTGTCTAGCTTTTGTGTTTTCGGTTTAATCCCCAGATGGGTTCATTTGTCGTTGTTACATTTTTTTTCTCAAACTTTTTTTCTTAGAGGTTGCCGTTTGTTAAAAAATGTTCCAGTCGTTGATGTAACCACTGCGAACCGTAGCGTTGTGCATATGGATTTCATATGTATTCAGTAGTTAAACTACCGGATTCTTTTCTCCGGAATAGTATACATTCTTTACAGCCCATTTTGAAGGAGAATTTTCAGCTTTTTACATCAATTTACGACCAAGATTCTGGATCAATTGAGGTAGACGGATAGAGTTCGTGGAACGTAAAATAGTTACGCATACAAAACGCACGTGATGTACATGCGTTACTTTTTTGCTGGTCGACGATACCCGTTGGGATTAACGATAGTGATAGTAACTTTTTATTCGAGGTTCCTATCTATCTAAACAGAATTGAGCTAAGTGGACGGCTGCCATTATGGCTATCACAAGTAATGATATATGTTCAAATGATTTTACGGGTATAAAATGGTCACCATATGTACAGATTAAATGTGTGAAGAAGCGCTCATGAGATCCGTAGAATAGGTGTTATCTCGTTTAGTGATCTCCTTATTTTTGGGGTGTTGTGGTCCGCAAACTAACTGTTCCCTGTGCACAGTTCGAGACTGTTGCCGAATAAACTGGTTGTCTAATCGGATCTTAATTCTGGCTCACAATATAATTTAACCTTAAGATAGATTATGCGCAACACATTTGATGTTATGCATGTTCCACCAGTTAGATTTATCACTTTTTTCTGGCTCCAATGAATACATATCTCATTCACGTACTATGTGGTAGTTCGTGCCGGCGCCCAGCCACACACACACACACACACGCAAATAACAGTCTTTTCGTAAACCGTTTTCACAGCCCTTATTTGTTAGTCGATGAAAATGATCCACGCGAAACACGTTTTCATTGATCTTACATCGTTTTCTATGTTAACCGAGGAAATAACTTTTCATGCCGTAGCTCGACAGACAGTATTCAGACAGTATTCAAACATTCCTAGTACTAACAACATGTTCACGTAGTATTTATAGCTCCGGTTTTTCTTTCCGGTTGCGTATCCGATGCATAGGCGAATAGAAGTCATGTGAGGATCAGTGTGCATTCCTGTTTTTGCACAGTTTCTTCTTTTGGACCATGGAAAGTGATATTGGTCAGATGGTTGCCATAGGTCAAAATTGTCAGTCTCCCCGGCTTCGCGTCCGTCAACTTGGTGATCAGTGGTTAGATCAACGCGTCCTGAGTTGTATGAATTTCATGAAGGGTTATCCTTATCCAGTCCCAGGTTTTAGTCGCTAGGAGTTCCAGATATTCATGTTTCTAGTAAAACAACCTTGTGCAAATGTTTCAATGGGTCAATAGTCGACTGTGTAAATGAAAGTGAACGGTCCATGTGTATCTGTCGGTTTACGTGACATGATACACCCAGATGGTGTGTCGCTGTCAGTCATCTTTCGTCCTTGCTCTCAAACGTTAACATGTGATCTTCACTGTGCCTTTCTGGTCATTATCAGTATTCTATTAGTATTAGCGGCATGAGAACCAATCGGTTGAAAAAAACCACGTGCTCTCAATCATCATCATTCCACTTCTATCCACCCTTCCTGTTCAAGATCTTCGGTTCAAATAGCGTTTTCTTTCATTTTTTTGCGTTTCTCAACAATGCTCCTGTTACCGCATCCAGTTCTCGCTCCAAGCAACATGATTCATGGACTGATTGTGCATGATCATCATCCGGTATCGGTTACATCTGTCACAGTCCGCGGATTATTTCTCCCACTGTGTGATTGGTCGCGGGAACGAGGTTGGCACGCGTTTCCGGTCAGCAAATTAAACAAACAAGATTTTCTATCCTACAACCAATTCATCATTGCCCAGCAACCTCCGGACTTTGTGTCACACTTGTCCGAGATGGATATCTGAAACGCACAAAGTGTGCACGTTGCGTGTATCGTAGAAAGATTGATTCTTCTCAAATGGGAATGATAAAATCTTGCCGTGTTATATATGTATGTATTTACAATTGATCATAGAAACTGATTTGAATAATTTGGTTTACCTAACGAACGATGCACTTAGTGCAGCGCCTTCGACAGAGATCATGTTTGAATGGGAAATTAAAATGATTACTTCGACTGTGCATTGAACTTCATTAGGTTCAGTTTTCAACAACTGAGATTTATATGAAATAGTTAAACGTTTGTGCACTTTGTTCAGATTGTTGTTTGCCAGATTGTGCTATGGTTGTAGCATCAGTGGGATTCAAACACACATGCATCGACGCCGCCTACGCCTTCGTACAGTGCGCTATTCCTGCCAGCTGAGCTACGAAACCTCGTAGCTCATAGAAAATCGTAGACCGTATTCATGCGTGGGTTTGTGTGTCTGCAAAACATTGGGTCTGTAAATTGAGCGGGTCTATAATGTTGTATTCTGTGCGTGGATCCGAACAAGAAAAGTGGGTTACAGATATTCGCTTTTTTAACGATTTTCCTGTGGAGCCTGATAGTATGTGAGAATCAGAAAACAACATTCGGTGACTCATATATAAATGTATATATATATATATATATATCCGAGGTAGCAATCTAGGTTGAAATCATTGACTCCGAACGCTCAGGTGGAACGAACCAATTACTTTGCCACAACTGGCTAGCTCCACTCAACAGGTTTACACATTCAGATCATTCATTTTGATCAGCGATCCGGTTGTCTGACAAAATGATGACTGAAATACTTTAGCCAACATTTTCCTTCCCAAAAACTGGATTGCCTAAACATATGGTATTGATCAACCTCGTGTAAAATCTTGACTTTCATCAGATTTGATTCTCTTAATGCATGTTGTTCCGAGCCTTATTTACGGGATTGAATATGATACTGTTCCACATCAGATGCAACAACAAACACAGGCGAAAGAGCCCTTGAATTCAGTCTTGCTCTCACATAGCCGATCCAAACAGATTAGTGGCAGTGGCTCATAATATCATGTGCACAACATTTCTCAGTCCCTTTATACAGTTTGCCATATGCCTGTCGTGAAATGTTCTCGTACCGTACGCAAAAACGTGAACCTCCCGAAATCCGAATTTTCCTACAGATTTGTGCATAGCATTGATTTAACGGTAGCATCGAAGAACTACCAAAATTAGCTGAAGGACACCTCGGAGCAAACGGCAATATCGATTGCTGTGTAGTTGAACTACTCAATATGTAAATGCGATGGAAATGTTTGTGATAAGCAACAAAGAGCACTGGACAGCTGTTTCATCCTGTTTGGTACTCGTCAGTAGAGCGTACTTTTTTTGTGTCCCCGTCAGAACACGAACCATGATCAGTCGAGTCGGGACTTCAAACATTCAAACATTCCTCATCTAAACCGATTAAGCCATTCGTCCAAGGTGATAACCGTCAGCCGTGTAGCTCAGGGGTAAGAGGATAAGGGTAAGTCCCGACTCGACTGATTGCGGTTCAAGTCCTGACACGGGGACAAAATAGTTCGCGCTGCTGACAAGTCACAAGCAGGACGAAACAGCTATCCAGTGCTCTTTATTGGTTATCACGAACCTTTCCATCGCATTGAAATGCATACAAACAGTGGGGAATTAACGATCTCCCAAGGAGTGAAACCCACACCGAGAACCATCAAGACTGCCTGGTGCCTCTGAACAATCGAATGGGCTAATCCAAGCTTGATACTCTAAATTCAACACGTAATTCCCTCACTTCTTAAAATTGCCTCAGACAAAGTCGTACCGGTTTTGCATAGCACAAAACAGAAATCATTCTCAGTTATTATTCATTTTTCTTTTGGGGTACATGCTTTAGTTGTCCGCATTTGGAATCAATGCCACACTGATTTTGTCTTAAGTTAACTGTTTTGTTTTCACTCTTCCCATTGTTCTCACATCAGGTCGTCTTATCGTCATGGCCATAGACAGATCTTATGCAACTTGTAGGGGTGGCTGTTCTGACAGAATTTCCCGGCGTTCCTAACCCGAACTTATACACCGCGCCTATCCTTGTCTAATAACCTACCTACTATTTTTGTTTTCTATCGGTCGAAAATGCCTAATATCTGATGGCACCACTCTTCGCTCTCTCTCTCTCTCTCTCTCTCTCTCTCTCTCTCTCTACCGCGCTCCCGTTTATTGCGTCTAATGACTGATTATATTCATCATGAACATTATCATTCAAAAATAGGCGGTCGAGAATCCTGATTGATGATTTACGAATTTCTTGGCTATTTATTCAGGGGGTATTGTCTGTCAGTTGTTTGGATTGGATTGTTTTTCCGAATAGACTGAAGTCATCTTCGATATGTGGCAGTCTCCCGTATGCAGTTGATTCCGTGGATGTCTGTGGTAGACTTTAATCGATAAACTTCTATAAGACTATGGATTACAAACCCTTTTGTCGGCGATCTGTCAGCCGTTTTGTCAAACTATTCATCAAAAATTTTCTCGAATAACTGAGAAGATAACTGGAGAAGAGACCATAACCTACCAAATTCCCAAGAAAGCCTCCAGGGCATTTCTTCTTGTATCCCGTAATTTGCTATAATTAAAGAGTTTTGTAAAAAAACGTACTCCACAAGATGGTCCAGTTTAACCCCAAACGACTTCAATGAAGTTGACTATTATTTCAGATGGCCCGCTGATGACGTTGTCAATTTATCGGTGCAATCAATGCAACCATCCAAGTACAATACCGAAAGGATTGGCCTCACAGACTCCATCAGAGTATTATGATAACAGAGAACAGTCTCTTGTAGGAAACAGTCTATAAAGCCACCGCAGGCCAATCTCAGGAAATGCCCCACATTACTGCCTCTCTCTCTATGCTTCCGTTTTTCTGCCCAGCATCCATTCCTGCTTTTCGTGATTTCATGCTGATCAAATCTTCCGATGACATTAGGTCTGATTCACTCAACCCACCCATCAAAAAGAAAGCGCTTTGCACTCGCCGATATTTAATTTGAATTGGCATAGTCCATCGATGCGTCGTCCCTCCGGATATGTCGTTACTTCAGTCTCTCTCTCTGCACAGGTAAACCATACTATGATGTTCGTAGTAGTAGTAGTTGTTGTTCTTGTAGTAATACGCACGGAACTCGGAATACAAATCACGTAATAGGAATCACCGGACACGAGTCAAGGATTAGCTGTCACAGACTGGATCACAGAAGCACTGGACCGCAATGCCACGAGCTCCCAATATCCCATGTGAATGAGACGCGACGAAAAGGCCACAGGAATAGTAACACGTAGTTCGTTTGTGGAAAGAAATGAACGCGATTAAATTATATGTACAAAAGAAGATTATTCGTTATCTAGGCTTCCACCAATCGGATTATGATACTACTTGCATAATCTTGTTTCTGTCTGCACTGTCTTAGATTGGCTGGCACGATCTGCCTATGGCGTCTAGTCGGAAGTGGTACGCGTTTTATTGACATCAGCATTCAAATTTGATTAATCGCATGTGTGCGGAAACTGTGGCGGGGCGCTCCAGGGTAGGCGTAATCTCGCAGGCCTGAATTACCACACTGGAACATCACAATGTATATAACCCGGATATAGTACGGGAGGTGGAGATATTATTTACAAAATCGTTGATAATAAATTATTAAACCTAAAAGAACATGGATAATGTTTACTGTTTTCGATGTAATGTTTAGTCCGGATTCGCCCAAGATTGTTAGATCTGGGTGAAAAATGGGGTCGATGGAGGGCTATGGGAGACACAATGACTTTGTAAATTGTTTTAGCGCACACACAGGTGGATGGTGAATGGGAATTTTCACTGCTTTGGCTGTGGCCAGGATGCGATTTTTAATCCACTTAGATTGTTGTTCATAAGCCATGGTGGAGATCGCAGACCTGATAGATGCGACAGTTCATCGACGCCACGTCTATCAAATCCATTTCAATGAGACTTCCAGTTCGGTTGTGGATTCTATAGAAGTGATCCAAGAAAGCTTGCCTGGTGATTTGGCGTTACTGCTACAGAAAACCAAAAGGTGCAGTTGTATATACTCCTGGAACATCTACTGATACGAATACCCATCTGGCGCCGCGAACACCAAGCAGAAGATTGAACCAAATCTAACATGCACTTTTAAGCGGGGAGAGTTGTGGTGTTCCTAGCCCGCGGAATAGCGCCAGCGACGGAACCACGCGTTACGATTTATGGACAACGAAACACAAGTCGATCGAGCCTACCAATCAGAAATCATGCGGTTCAGACAGAAGCTTTGTGACGTGAAGAATACCAGCAAGTGATTGGTGGAGATCTAGATAACCAATAAACTTCCTATGTACACGTTAAATTAACCCCTTTTGAATTGTTTGGATAAACGAACTGCAACTTCCGTGACCATTTCCTTGCGTCTGGGTTAAGTGAGATAGAAGTGTATAAGTGCCAGTGTTTGCGTTGCGTCCTGTGATTCGCGATTTGTAATTCCTGATCTGTATCTATTTCAACTACAACAAGTTATCTCCGTCATAAGGTTACCTATAAATTGAAGATTCATTTAAACGGACTTCTCTTCTACTTCAACAGTTTCACCCTCGTTTGTCTGATATTGTAATATACTACATAGAAATCGATCCGGGTATCCATATTGTTGAGAGATTGGCGTTGGAATTCTAATCTGTTCTAAACTGTATGATCCCAGCAGATTTTCTGCTTTATTCAAGTTTTTTCGTGGTCCAAACAAACGATTTTATGTAATCTGTACACAAATTGTGCATTAACTGCTACAATGCGACTGGTTCGCCAAACGGCATTGTTCTAAATGCCCAAGTTAATCGCTTTCGTTGCGGAGCACGGGTTTTCACATATGTTACCTTGAGTGAGCAATGCATTTCTCTATGTAGATATTTACTTTACTGCGGTTGGTTTTTTGCAGAGGATAAGTC